CTGGTCCCTCCTGATAACATGTCCAACATATGTGAACCGTCCTCGAGTCTAAGGAACCTTCCGGCTGCACTTCTTTGACGATAGATGTGTTTGTTCTTCCAGCGGTCCACGGGACTTTCAGCATTATTCATCAGCACTGTGATTCAAATGCACCGAGTGTGCTGCAAGCTTCCCGATGTGTTGTCCGGCCTTAACACGCACCCGCGGCAAAGGCAAATGCTGTGGTCCAAGTCGGGCCAATCTTAAGTCTCACAGTGACCTCTTTGTTCTGGACACGCGAGGCCTCGCGGAGCAGATTTACCATGGATTCTCAAGGAACAAATGCAAAATGGATGAACACCCTCCCAAAAAGGAAGTGGAAAGCAGTTTCCCACCTGAACCTCTCTTTCAGGCATCCAGGCTGTGGAGTACTTTGCTCTTCTTCAGGGGTCCACGAGCCCCAGGCCTCACCGGGGAAACTACTGAACCAAGGGCTACGTTTCAGAGATGCCCCACACCCCCCCCCCGGGTCATTTGCAAGCACAATAATGCTGAGGCGCACGCATTCTTGTATAGGTACAAGGGTAGGGCCACGCTGTTTTCAAGGCTTCCTTCAGAAGGGAAGTCACTTCACCCCGCTGCACGCCATTCCCCCCTCCCCACTATCATTAAGTGGACCCTGTCATTATAGGACCCTAGAAGACAAGAGATGAACTGCTCCGCAGGGTTTGCAAGATGACATCTTGTGGGAGCAGACAGCCTCTCCTTCCTCCCAAGGGGTACCTCTCAGCTAGCAGCCCTGTGCGTAACCCACCGTGGCCCTAGTACACAGCTAACTGCAATTCCTCAAGAGAGCACAAGTCACATGTTTCTGAGAAGCAGATAAAGGGTATGCATGTGAAATTGTTCAATAATCTAGTGTTGTTTAAAACTTTTTCCAGGAAAAAAAAGTTAAACCCTCTATTCCTGGTAATAGAGGAGTCAGTATGCATAATAATGAAAAGACATGGTGGAACTAAATTGTATAAAGAAGACGGAGTAAAAAAGCTAAATTTAAATTATTTTGTATGCCGATAAAGAAAAATATCTCGTTATAAGACAATATTCATCAACAAAACATATCTCATTCCAATTCCTTAAAACACCTTCCTTAGAGAACACTCATCTTTGATGTAACTTCTTCCCCTTAAAAAAGTCATTAACTTATATAAAAGATATATGGATAATTGACGTTATGTTAATAAAACAAAAAAAATTTTCCTAAAGTCTTTCTCCCACCACCGTAAAATAAGCATTTTAAAAGTTTTGGTTAAAACTATAACAGACACTAATTGCCATTCAGCAGTGAAGTAACAAGCCCACACGGAAAAAAAAAACAAAACCTATAACAGAAAAGTGGGTGAGGGGCAATGGAGGACGATGTAAGATATGAAAATAATAATCTCTAACTTATCAAGAGTTCGTGAGGGAGGGCAGGGAGGGGAGAGAGGACGAAGAAATGGGGAGCTGATATCAGGGGCTCAAGTGGGAAGAGAATGTTTTGAAAATGATGATGGCGGCATATGTGCAGACGTGCTTGACACACTGGATGAATGTATGGATTGTGATAAGGGATGTAAGAGCCCCCAATAAAAGTACAGAAACAAAACCCAAAAAAACACTATCCCCTTTACATGTTGGTTACATGGGTGTGTTTGAAACTTTGGAATCATAGACTTCTCTGTAAATAAATAGTTACATTTAAGTTAAGCGTTTAAAAGAAAACATTGTAAACATTCAACATTTCCAAGCATTCATAGTCCAAATAAAATGGGGAAAACTGGGTATGTGGTCAGTAAAAAGAACGCATATAGAGCTATGAACTACCATTAATTTCATGGGCCTACTACAGGTTGTTAACGAGTCTTTCTCGGATGCTGATGCATACTTCTTCAGACAGTCCAGCTGCTCAGATTAATTGCTCAGAATATAATAACCCCGAGGCTCACCTTTCCGACTTTAAACTGCTAACGCAGATCAGACAACAGCCTTCAGGGTGGAACGCTACACACGTGAAAACAACGTGCCCCGCCAAGCGACGCCCTGGAGCAAAGATTGCAGTTGTCAGCGATTTGATTTTGCTTAAAGGCACAATCAAGGCTCATGGAAGCAGCAGTCCCCACACCAGCAGACCTGTCCAGAGCATCTCTTTAAAGAACCAAGCTGTCCCTTTGAGGACTAAGGTGCGCCGGACTCAACAAGCCAAGGCACATTCATCTGCATGGGAAAACACTGACTAAGAAAGACTGCAGAAGTGGGATGCTGGCAAAGAAGACAGAAAGAACTCCGCTGGAAGAACAAACAAATCTGTCTCAGGAAGCACTGCCAGGCTGTTCCTTGGTAGTGAGTAGAGCAGACTCCGTTTCCAGTCCTCAGGACGTGATTTCAGGAGAGCCCTGTCTCAGGAGAAGGACATCATGCTTGGTGAATCGGGGTTCAGAGTAAAAGAGGAAGGCTCTCAATGGGACGGACTGACACAGTGGCTGCAACAATGGGCTCAAACGTCACACTGAGTTGTGAGGATGGCACAGGACAGGGCAGTGTTTGTTCTGCAGTCTGACCCACGATGAGGCAGAGCTGGCTTGAGGCCACTGAACACCGGCAACTACCATTAATGCGAAACCTGCACTTTATTGCCGCGATGAATAGATGAAAATGGCACCCTAACTCAAAATACAAGAGAACAATCTGAATCTAAATCACAAAGCAACACAATAGGAAAAGAAGCTACAAGAATAGTTCACTTTACTGCTACATTGGCATGCTAATAGCCTGCTCCATCCAACAGATAGGCACACAGCTGAGAGAGTAACAGTGGTTGTTTCCTCTCATTCTCTGGGTTCACTTAAACGTCTTTTCTTCCAAAAAGCCGTGGGAGCAGATGCAACCTCTATTCCGAGCTAGGAAAGGCTTATTTGAATTGGATGGTGAGGATTCAGTTGCAGCTACTTTATATTACACAGTAACACTATACGCCAGTGGTCCTAATGCAGCAACCCTTCCATACAGTTCCTCATGTGGTGGTGACCCCCCCAACCACAAAATTATTTTCGTTGCTACTTCATAACTGTCATTTTGCTACTGTTATGAATCGGGCAACCCCTGTGAAAGGGTCGTCCGACCCCCCAAAGGGGTCGTGATCCACAGGTTGAGAACCGCTGCTCTAAGCCCAACTGACTTTTTTCCCAGGGGCATTCAATAGGGTATATGGAATCCTGGCCGCTGGTAATTAACATAAATTAAATTTTGGCGGGAACTTTATTGAGGTTCTGATCCTTAATTTGACTGTATTTTACTGCAGGGGAAGCGGCACCAGCCTCATTCTTTCTTGCACTATAATTATCACGAATGGCTTATGTCATAATGAGAGCCCACCTGTATTTTGGATTATTCGCTCGGCTTCTTTCTTTTTATCAAAACCCTGGCTCTGATTACCTCTTTTGTTTGCGAGTGTTTTACCAGAGATTTTCAACTCTGCTGTTGGCCTACAAGCCCCTCTGCGCCCTGACTCTAATATTTTCCCCAGACTTCTGCTCCCTCCCACCCTGCAGACCCTTTGAACGCTGTTTTCAGGGAGGGGGAGGGGGCAGCCCTTGAGGGCAGATTGAACATCAGATTTTCACAAGGAGCAAGGTCATGCCTGGCTGTCAGCTTCCACCGCGGGGGGGGGGGCAATTCTGCACCAAATTACTCATGATCCCGACAAGCTTTGAGAAACCGGCTCTTGACACACGTTAATCCCAGTATATCCCAAAGTGTTGGCAAAGGCCCCTTCCAAAATAGCAGGCTTAGTTTCAAAAGGCACATGACATCAACGGAGAAGGGTTGATTCTCTTGTCGTGTTCCATGGCTGATGGGCCTTTGGGAAATGAAAAAGGTAACAGTGGCGGCTCCCTCCAGTGATTGCAACACCAGGGCCTCGCAACCAAGGAGGAGTCAGGCCATCCTCCCGGGAACTGAGAATGAAATCTTGCTTTTTCCCCCCAAGGCAGTGGAATGAGCTTACTTGCATTCTCCTGCAACTGTGATTTTTAACATGAAAGGTGATAAGGGGTTGGCTTTAAGAAGCCATTTCTTAAGGCAATTACATTTTTCCTGGCTGTATTTACTCACTGCATTTTTGCCAGGTGGGAGGGGCTCCAGTTGCATTTCCTGTAGTCCTGCCCTTGACCTTAGATCTTATCCAGGAATGTGACCTAGGTGAAACACCAGCAGCAGTCTTGCACGTGAGGCACACCATTCTAATGGTGCCGCCTCCCTGGGCGCATCCCTGAGTCGACGCAGCCGAGCTGTTGGATGGTGTGGCAATCACTTCTCAAGCGTTTGCTTTTCGATCCTTCTCGTCTCCCCACACACTAGCTACATCTGTCACAGCAGAAGCACTGCTCTTTCAAACTGGAGGGGAAGAGAGTCAGAAAAGAACTGATCCATGTTGCTACCGCTGTGCTTAAATAAAGCGAGCCAGTCTCATCCCCAGGGCAGTTCACAATAATAACCCCATTTCCCTCCTACCCTCCCAAGACAAGCAAAGTGGGGAAAGCCCTTCTCCGCTTCCCCCAAACAGAACAGAGCAGGGGCTACAGGAAATGGACCGGGAGTCCCTCCCTCTGGGCAAATGCATACAGCAGGAGGGTTGGGGACCTCCTGGATCTTGCCCAGAAAGGAAAAACAGCTAACCCAGTGGTTCACAACCTTCCTACGGCCACGACCCTTTAACTCAGTTCCTCATGTGGTGGCGACCCCTCAACCATAAAATTATTTTCGTTGCTATTTCATAACTGCCATTTTGCTACTGTTATGAGTCAGGCGACCCCTGTGAACGGGTCGTTCGACCCCCAAAGGGGTCGCGACCCGCAGGTTGAGAACCGCTGAGCTAGACAGACCCTTTCAGAGAGAAGGGAGCCAACTGTCCGGTGATACAGAGCCTCGGAGTAGTAGCCAATTCAAAGCCTCCCTGAGGCCCGAGGGAGCGCCTCACCCACCTGGTCACATCCCGCGGTCACCAGCTCCTGCAGCATTTGCCGGTTGACTTCAGCAGTGGTGGCGGCAGAGGTACCCGATTCATTAGCAAAAGGCAACAAGGAGTATCGGATCTCCCGCAGAGCTTTCTGGTAGGGCCCAAATTTGGGGGTGGCTCTCATCTGCTGCTGCTGCCTGGCTGCGTCCTTGGCTCCCAGGACCTTGGCGTCCAGCGCAGGGTCATTGTTGGGTCCCACGGGTAAGCCCTGAGCCAAGGTCTTGGCCGGTTGTTTTAATCCTTCACGAATCTCCTGCAATCGCTGCCTGCCGTTCCCAGAGTACGCCGTGGCAGGGAATGTCTTTGGCCTCATTGTTAGTCCAGTTTCTCCTTCTACTGTAAATACAACCTCCTTAACGCGTTTTAGTATGAAAAAAACAAAACAAAAAAACTGTCCCTAAGAGTTCCTCGTAAACATCGGTTTTCGAAACAACTTCTTTTAGAAAACGCTATGTCCTTGCATTTCCGTGGTTCCTTGCGAGAACCTAGAATGTTCCAGAGCCTTCATTGTGAAGAATCTCACTATCTGAAAAAGAAAACACACGGGGTGGGAGAAAACGTTCACTGGTGGCTTTCACACGGTGTCAATACTTCCCAGCGGTGCACAGTGAGTCTGCGGTGTCCCGCTTGGGACGGTGAAGAAACGGCAGGCCTCCCCTCAGAAATGACAACAGTGCGGTTCAGCTCGACTAAAGCACAGGACCCGCACCCCAAGACACAATCAGCCACACAGCAAGTCGCCACACGCGACTGCGGCTTCCAGGGACAGTGGTCTTAACTCAGGACAGCGTGTCCAAAGTGCTTCCATGCAGTACCACGTGGAAACCCATAGCCTTGCTGGTCAGGATTAAATGATCCACGTGGGGGCTTGCATTTCTGACTTGCCCCATTCCCCCATCTCGAGAACCAATCCATGCCATAGGCCATTCTCCCTGCTGCTTTGCGAACCAAACCTCCCACTTATCTGAAGGAGGTCCGGTCCTTGCATATTTCTGAAAGAAGTGGAGTAGTTGCCGAGGTCAGCCCCGGCCCCTTTCTCTTTCCCCTGGCCTCAGACCAGGCGGAGCCACGGTTCTAAAGCTCAGCCATGGCCAAGATTAAGGCCCGGGGCCGTCGCGGCAAGAAGAGCTGCTCAAACGGCTCGACGGCCCGAAGGTGGAATTGTCGCAGCAGTGCGTTGCCAAAGTGACCGGTGGCGTGCGTCCAAGCTCTCCAAAATCCGAGTTGCCCGCAAATCCATGGCTCACCATCATCAACCACACTCCGAAGGAGAACTCAGGCAGTCCTCCAAGGGTACGAAGGGCAAGCCCCTGGATCCGCGGCCCAGGAAACTCGGGCCATGCCCCACCGGCTCAACAAGCCCGAGAGCCTGCAGCCCAGGAAGCAGTGGCGGAAGGAGCTGTCCGCACTGCACGAGTACACGTTCAAGGCCTGTACAACAACAAAACCTCCTCAGTCTTCTGGAAGGAGCCCTGGGCGGCTTTTTATTCCTGTGAAGACTTCCAGTCTCTGAAACTTACAGGGTCAGTTCTACTCTGTCCTCTATGAGTTGGAATCGGCTTGATGGCAGTGAGCTGGCTTTTCTGGGAGCCAAACCTGGGAGTCTTCCTGAAAGCAGAGGGTGCTGGGAGAGGGACAGCTGTTAGCAGAATTGGTAAGAAGGCTGGAAGATGGGAGGTATGTCTGACTCCACCTCACAGCTGTCGGCCTGTTTAAATACTCTCTTCCCCTCGTCAGCTAAGAGAAAGTCACACGCTGACATGACACCATTTTTACAGCCGGTGCAGTTCACTCACTGGCTTTGAAAATGTCGTTCTTTTTGAAGACCGCCCTCATATCCAATACAGGATTTCTGTGGGACTGAGAAAGAAGGCAGGTGATCACATGTACTCTCTGGGACATGCGCGGGACCACCAGTGTCCCACCACACGTGCTGTGCGGTTAGCTGCACCGAGGGGTGGGGCTGGTGTGCCACGCCTGCTCAGTTTGGGTCTTTTTGGCCCTCAGCCAGCTGCAGCTGACTTCACATGACGTGCGGGCCACCTCCATTCACAGGGCCTTGAGTACAGGGCAGGCCGAACCCCCTGTTCAGGCCTGAAGAATGCAGAAAAGAATGACTCGCTTTGGACTTGCAAAGGAAGAAAACAAACGGTTTAGGTGCAGGGTAGAATGTGTGGCAATAAAAGTATGCTCAAAGATTTTGGGGACAATACTCCCTCCCCCCCTTCCTGAAATCCAGTTCAGATAAAACAGCAAGGTAAGTACAATTAGAAAATGATCTAAGGAATAAAAGAGGGCTTTGCATGTAGGAGGGAGTCCTAGTGGCACACTGGGCTAAGCACTGGGCTGCTAACTGCAAGGTCAGCAGTTCAAATCCACCAGTCAATCCTTAACAGAAAGGATTGGATTGGGGCGTGGAGGGGAATGGGCAGCTGACACCAAATATGAGAAGAAAATGCTCTGGAATTGATTGTGATGATGGCACAAATCTTAAGATGATAAAATGATTAAGTTGTATGATATGTTGGGGGAGGCTACTATAAACTGTTGCTTTAGAACTATTAATAAAGAACATAGGCAATAAGTGTGGGCAAAAATATGGACAAATTGGAAGTGTTTTCCACTGATTTGGCGTATGTAAGTTTATATAACACTTTATATAAAACTATTTCTTGGAAAGTCAGTGATATACTTTTCAACTGAGGCTTTTCTGTTTTATTTTGCTATTGTTACTGGTTGTTGTTTTTTGTTTCTGTGCTTTTTATTGTTGTAGGATTAATAGTTTCTTGGAGCTGGGGGAAATGAGGAATAAAAATACAATATAGAATATACTAACACTGTAGTGATGATTGTACAGCTCTTTTCAGGATGTTTAAACTACTGTATGATATGTGAATTATATGTCAATAAAACTGTTAGAAATTTTTTTTAAAGTCCCATAAAGATTTATAGCCTCTAGGGGACTATTGGTCTCTCTGTGTTCTGAGAAAAGAAGAATCATGAAAGTCATAGTTACATGGAAACAATTAGTTCGATGAACTAATGAACAACCACATAGACATGACCCGAGACCAGAAGAACTAGATGGCGCCTGGCTGCCAACACCAACTGCTCTAAAAAGGATCACATTAAAGTATAGGGTCCTAAACTTCTCTATTAAAAAAAAAATTGCTCTGTGTCCCACTGGCAATTAAACACATCTGCAGTATAGCCCCTAGTACAGGATGAAATGTAGGTATCAACTTCTGCATCGCCCGTGGGTCATTCCAGTGCTCCCCCACTTTGGGACGTTCCATTAGAGGGTCTTTAATATCGAGTGGGAGAAAACTGTGGGGCAAAGCTCAAAAGTCAGTCTCACTGGTCAAACAGAGCCTGGTAGAGAAATGAACTTATCCCAGGGGCTCAATATTCGGCCACACAAGTGTTCTCGCCCGTCGTTAGATGGGGCGAATCGGCTTCTGACTCACAGTCACCCCATGACAGAGACCCTGTGTGTTCCTCTCCCGCCACCCCTCCACTCCAGAACAAGTCACCCAGGCCGAAACAGTCAGGAGGTCCACTTTACAAGGGCGTGCTGAAGTTACCAGGGTGGCTGCCCGGAACTGGGATGTGCCCTGGACAGCGATGAACCCTGAAGATGGATTTGTCACCAAACAGCATGAGCGAGGCGTGTGGGGGTAGGGTACAAGAGGAGGGGGGCAGCTTAAACATCAAGGCCTGGAGGTCAGGGAGGACAGGGGACACTCACAGGCACTGCTGGGGCCCAGGGTGGAGTGTGTCCAACAAAACGGGCCCTCACTGTAAGGCGGCGATAGTCAGAATCCCGATGACCCAACGCAGAGTCCACTCCAGCCAGCTGGTCAGTGACCTGGCCTGGATTTTCAGGGAAACAAACGGGGCCAACGGGCTTGGAGTCATGTAAGGTGTGACTGACCTGCTCTGTGTCTACCGGTGGCTGTGGCAT